AAGCCCTAGGAGCCTGGGCCTTCTGGAATGTCAGCTGAGCTAAGGGACCAGGTCCCAATTATTCTATAAGCTAATAGTCTTGTTGCCATAGTTGCAGTTAGAGATTTTCCCACACTGGGTCCCCAAGGTGCGTAATGTTTCTTGGTGAGCTCTGGGAGATGAGAGCCAAGATTAGAATAATGGAATGTGGGGCGGGGGAGCCTTCCAGCAAAGCCCACCACTTGTGCCAAAGGACTTCCCTGTCGGGCTGCTTGACCGCGCAGGCACGCGCACCTGGGTCCCGCAGCCCAGGAGCCGCGTGCAGCTCGGCATGATACTTTCATACTCACGCGGGCCAGAAATAGCTGCATGGGCCTGCAGGCGGCCGAGCTAGGGGCAAGACCGCATCCCGCTCCCAGCTCTTCCCAGACCATCCTCACATGAGTCACTTAACCTTCACGGACTCATTGCTGGAGCGTGATGCTCCTTAGGGCTGCTGTGTGGGGAACAAATGAGTATTTGTGGAAAAGCTTCCGCATGTGGAAACTGCTGGTGCTGAACAAATACTAGAGAGTCATGATTATTTGAAACCAGAGAGGAATGTGCTCGTTAAACGCGGTGATAAGAGACCCTCCCTGGTTCCTCCTCACTTCCCGGTGAACAGCACCTGCAGGGGCTGTTCCTTGCTGGCCTGTGGGCAGAGTCTGCAGCCCCCATGCCTGCGGCTGGGGTCAGAGGGTGCTTGGCCAAGGAGTTAATTCAAACACACTTGGCACCTGCTGCCTGCCGGGCACAGCGCGAGGCAGAGAACAGCAAGATGGACAGCCTTCCCCTGGCCCTGATGGAGTCAAAGCCTGGTTAGAGAAAGGTACTGGTCTGTGATTATAATATACACATATAAAGATAAGTCTAAAGGTCCGTCTGCCTGAGGGCGGGTCCAAGCCAGAGATCATATTTGAATGAGGCTTTGCAGGACACATAGGAGTTCACTCTGTGAGCCAGGATTTGGGGGTGGGGTGCAGGGAGAGCTCACGGCAAGGCCAGAGGAAGGACAGGGCTTGGGTGTTTGGAGAATGGCACCAGTGTGGCTGATTGCTGTGTCACCACGAGCCAGGCTCTGTGCCGGAGGCTGGGGTGTGACTCAGAGCTGTCCCCGAGAGGCTGAAGGGAAGCAGGGTCCGTCCTTGAACCGAAGTGCTTGAGGAGCTGAGACGGCATTCCAGGCAGGACGTCCGCGGACATAGCCGTGTTTAGAAAACCACAAACGGTCCGCCTGGGCTGAAGGCAGGAGTCAGGTGCGGAGCACATCAGAGATAAGGCTGCGGAGGTCGGCTAACCCTTGGGCCTGGACTGCAGCCTGCGGGGCTGCTGTGAGCTCCGGACCTGATCCTGAGAGCCCCCTGGAGAAGCTGACGGCACTCTGCCCAAGCCTCGCTGACTCACCCCGCAGGCCAAGCTGCAAACAGGCGCCCAGGTGATGTCAGTGAGGAGCCGGGCTGAGAACCCGGAAGTGAACAGCAGCAGAGCGGCCGGGCCTGGAGCCCCAGGCCCGGGCTACGGTGGAGCTGCCGGGGCCTTAGGGGAGGAGCTGATGTAATAAGGCTCACATTTTCGGGGGTCACTGTTCAAGCAGAGACTGGGAGGATGGTTTCAAACACGCACGGCTGAAAAGTCTCGAGAACAAGCAGGTGAGAGAGGGTGCAGGCCGGGACCCCAGGGGTGGAGGCAGTGGGGGAGGGAACAGGTTAAAAGAAAGGCTAAGCACACAGAAAGCTACAGAACATTGCTGAAGGAAATGAAAAAAGGCACAAATGAAAACACATTCCATTTTATGGACTGGAAGAGAATATTGTTAAACGGTCAATACTACCCAGAGCAATCTACAAATTCAATGCAATCTCTGTCAAAGTCCCAGTGGCATATTTTGCAAAAATAGAACACTGAAGTGTATCCTAAAATTCATATGGAAGCTCAAGGGACCCCAAATGGGAAAAATAAGCTTTAAAAGAAAAGAAAAAATGTGGAGGTCTCACATTTCCTGATTTTAAACTTATTATAAAACGACAGTACTCAAAACAGTGTGGTACTGGCATAAAACACACACACACAGAGACTAATGGAACAGAATGGAAAGCCCAGAAATAAACTCTCAGAGATATAGTCAAATGGACAAGGGTGCCAAGGCCATTCAGTGAGAAAAGGACAGTCTTTTCAACAAATAGTGCTGGGAAAACTGTATACCCACATGCAAAATAACAAAGGTGGACCCTTACTTTACACCGTACACAAACATTAACTCAAAATAGATCAAAGACCTAAATATACGTGTTAAAACTGTAAAATATAAAACTCTTAGAAGAAATCATAGGGGAAAAATGTCATGATTGGATTGGCAGTGGTTTCTTGGATACAACACCAAAAGCACAGGCAACAAAAGGGAAAATAGATAAACTGGACTCCACCGAGTCAGAGGCTTCTGTGCATCCAAGGACAGTCAGTCAGCAGAGGGAAAGGCTGCCCACAGAATGGAAGAAAATATTTGCAAATCACGTATCTGATAAGGAGTTAGTATCCGGAATATATAAAGAGTTCCTACCACAAATAA